GACGAGACTGACCACAACCGGCCGTCCTGACAGCCCGCCCAGCACTCCGCGCACAGGACCGCGGTCCACTGCACGGGGCGGCAGACCCACGAAAGCCAGGCCGGGCCTGCCTCCAGGTGGGACGCTGTGAGCACTGGTGAAGGCCAGCACCGGCCTGGCTCGGACGAGTGACAGGCACTGGAGATGTTGGCTGCATAAACCACAAATCAAAATCTCCCTCGACTCCCCCACCCCACACCCACCCCATCTCCCTCCCAGGCCGCCTGGGGGTGCGAGTGCCACAGCACGGCGGCGTGGTCTGCGGACACGCTTGTCTGTCCCCGCTGGGAACCGCAGGGGCCCTGGCTGCGCGGTGTCCTCCCCGAGTCGGTGAGCCCCCAGCGAGCGCCCCCACTCACGTGCTCGTCGGAGGCGTAGAGGACCTCCATCAGCCGCTGCACGAGGCTGTCGCTCTCCTGGCCCTGCTCCTGGCAGAGCAGCTCGATCTCCCGCAGCTTCCCGAAGTAGAAGTCCCGCTCCTTCTCCACGCCTTCCAGGGCCAGCTTCAGCGAGTGTACCTGCAGGGCCGAGGGTGGAGGAGACAGCGCCACCCAGCGTCAGACACGCGACCACCTGCCTGTGCGGAGCCCAGGACACGCAGAGACAGACGTGCGTGCGGAGAGCCGCGCTGTGCACGTCCGCGGGAGGAACTGTGTGCGGCCTGGGTCTGGGCCAGAACGTCATGTCCAACCTCCGAGCGCAGTCCTTCCCCCGGCAGGGAGTGTGTGTGAGTGTGAACAGGGCCCGAGGGGGTCCCGCTGGACACAGCGCCCGCCCAGCAGGGAGTGTGTGTGAGTGTGAACAGGGCCCGAGGGGGTCCCGCTGGACACATCGCCCGCCCAGCAGTGAGTGTGAACAAGGGCCCGAGGGGGTCCCGCTGGACACAGCGCCTGCCCGTGGGCTGAGGACACCTCCCCTCCTGCCCACAGGGCCAGGGGGCCAGCCACCCCTTCCTCACAGCTGCCCCTCCTGCAGGGGGGGCGCGAGGCGAGGAGGGACAGGCAGGGAGAGAGGCTGGCGCTGTGGTCACTCAGGTGTATTCTGAGGACGCTCGTGGCTCCACGGCACCTGCATGGGGTCACCCTTAGTTTTGGACCAAACAGGACAAATGCTCTCTCCTGGGAAACAGGTGCTGACCACACAGGAGAACTGGGGAGACCAAATCCTAACTCTAGTCCCGGTGTCGTGGGCGATGGGAAGAGATGGAAGCTCGTTCCCTCAGGAAACAGTGCCCCCTCCTGCTCCGTGATGCTGGCCAAGGACCTTGCGGGCTGTGCGCCCCTCAGGTGGTCACGGACAGCGTGCTGGTGGCTGGAGGGAGGCACAGCTGGGCTGTCGCCGGCTGAGGGAGCACTCCAGGGGTAAGCAGCTCTGGGCTCACCTCCCAGGCAGCTCCATCGGGCCCAAACCATCACTGTTCCTGCTCCGAGAGCCTCAATGTCTCGGCCCTTCATGCGTTTCCTACTCACGCAGAGAATGTTCTTTAGGAGGCAAGTGAAGTCGCCCGAAGGCCCTCTCAGCACATGGAAAACCACCCTCAGCAGAGTTTCCGAGAATTACTTTGGGATGGAAATTTGTCTCCCTTTGCTAATGACAGAGCCTCCGTGCACGCAGCCAGTCTGTGTGGGATCAGTGATGCGTCCATATGTACCCTGAGCACAGGCGACATCTACCTTTTTGCACACCTGGCAGACTCCTGTCCCGCCGTGGCACCCGGGGGCAAACCCGCATCCATCCTGCCAGACCCAGGCCATGGTCCCTCGGGGCACCTCGCTGAAGCCTCCCGGAGCTGCTCGCCAAGCAGCAGGGCACCGATTTGCCACCAGTTCCCGCGGATTTCTCATCGCACTGCTGCTTGGACACCGGTAAAAACTGAAGGCAACCGGCAGCCTCAATTCCGAGAAAAGGAAACTCCCTCATTCTCCAAATCCTCTCTTCCTCTAACACAAACCACCCTCTCACCCCCACACAGGCAAGAGGGTTTCTGGTCACAGCTGAACAAGAGCGAGGCCTGTGTGCCTCGCGAGCGAGCTCTGGTCTGCGTGATGAGCAGAGCGCTGAGGTCTCGGCAGCGATCCCCAGCCCACGTCAGCCCCTGGTGGTGGTCCAGACGCATCAGGTAATGATGCGCAGCTATAAACATTCCCTAGTTAAACCAACAGGAGCTAAATTATACGATGAAAGATCAATTGGCAGCTGATTACATGCTGGAAGTCCCACTCATAAGGCCCGGTGCCTCCTGCTCCCTCACGCTCACAGCTGGGAGGTGGGGGTGGGGGAGAGGGGAAGGCTGAGGAAAGGACAGGAGCAGCCTTTCCCCTCTCCCTCTCTCCCCAAAAAGGGGCTAAGGAGCTTACCCGAGAGGCCCGGTATTATTGTATAGTTTATGAAGAGGAGAGAGCGACAAGAG